CACTACACTAGAGGGATCCACAACTAGTGAATTAAAAAAATATTCCCCTGTTCTTTCACATTGCCCGGCCTCATTAAAAAAAAAAATTATGTTCAAGGCCTATGTTCCGTCGCATGAGGAATTCTCAGAGATTAAGTCTCACTAGATTTGCCAGTGAGAAACACATACATACAAAAAAATGTATAAACAATTTCACACTTAAATCACATACATCACTGCTGTGATTGCAGTGACATTACAGATTTGAAAAGTGCATGTGAGCATGCCTGATTACTGTGCACTCAATTTGCATAATTGGATGTACAAATCATACATTTGCAGTGGCATTCCTGTTTGAAAATGTGGACCATATTTTCCCTAATAAAAGGATTTTACTATATATGATCCACTTTCTAAACTAATTTTTCTTAGGAGCAATGAAGTATGAATGAAGTTCACTAGTTTTTAAACCTATTTTAGTTTATTTTAATGTCATTATGCATGAATGCATTCAGAAGTAAGTGACTTTTCCCCATGAATCACCTGCAATTAAAAAAGCTGCTAATCCTAATTAAATGTAGTATGTTTAAGTGTGCACAAATTAGTGAATGAATACTTTATATCTTGGAAAGATTGAGCTGCAGTGTACTATATTGCCAATTTTCCCCATGTTTTCTTTTACTGTTAAGAAGGGGGGGGGCAAGGGTGTTAAGCTTTGTAAGTCAGTACTAAACCCTCCTAGTAAGAGAAAATGAAAGTTCCTTCCTTATAATTTTAAATCAAAGAATAGAACATTTTCTTTGATTATACAATTTTATTAAAAAGCACAGGGGTGAATTTCTCCAAACAAAATATTACTATTAATGCTATCACCCAAATGATCTGACAGTTATAATTACAGTAGTGAAATCATACATTTTTGTTCTATATTCCAGCATTTTAGACATTACTCAAAGCCCTGTAATGATACTCTGCTTGTAGGTGGAACAGAACATAGTGCTTTTCATAAAAGGAAAAACAGTTACTATGAGAACTCAGAAGGCTTAATTTTGTTTACATATAAATTCTTAGTTTACACTGTGGCTAGTTTAGTGGCTAAAGCAGGAAGTCCTGAATCTAGTTCCTGTTCTCCATAGAGCCAGAAGAACTTCATAGCACGCAATAAAGCCATTCCAGATTTATCTTGGTGTAACAAATGGAGCACAGTGAACAAATCTGTTCTATTTTTGCTCCTGACTAAGGCTATATCTACATACAGCTTATGTCTGCATAACTTATATTGCTCAGGGGTGTGAATAAACCACTTGAGTGATATAAAGTTACACTGACATAAGCTCCGTTGTGGACAGTGCTATGTCCATGAGAGCTTCTTCTGCCAAAATAGCTAGCGTGGCTTGTAGGGGCTAGAGTATTTAACCCACCGGGAGAGCTCTCCCCCATCGGCATAGAACAGCTACATTAGAGAACTTACAGCAGTGCAGTTGAATCGGTGCAGCTGCATCACTGTAAACTCTCTAGTGTAGCCGCACCCTTAGTGACCCTGTTCTTTACTCCTTTGCTTCCTCAGCTCTCACCTGGGATAGTGCTCACTTCTCATAGGACAGGGGAAAGGCTTAAAATAATATTGATAAAAGACCTTGGAGGTCATCAAGTAACAGTGTAAAGTAAAAATATATTAACTCACCACAGTTAAAACTGAAGGGCTTACACTGCAATATTAATAAATTCCAGAACACCAAAGATCTGGCTTTGATTTACTGTAATGATATCAAACACCCCCACACTCTCTTCTGGACCGTATTTTCCACTGCATCCCTTTAATATAAACCCTCATTCAAATGTTCCATCTTTAGAAAAAACAATTCGCTAAATGAGTTGAATTGGTATGTATCAGTGGTTTGAAATCATAGGCTGCATACACTGATGTGGTCTAATTCAGTGTCTATATGTAGAGAGCTGGGTGAGAAACTGTTTTCCTGTATCATGAGACACACCTTAAAAAAAAATCCTGTATCAAAATCTGAGTCAAAAATCTGAAAAGCTTTCATGAACTAAATATCAAAATATTTCAGAATGGGTCAGTTAAAATGTTTAATCTCAAAGGGACTTTTACATTTCTATTCAAGTTTTATTAAATTTGAAAATAAAAGTTATTTCAAATGCCAAAGTGGAATTTCATTTAAAAAATGTCAAAGTGGGACAATTTATTTTGAAGAAAAAACACAAAATAAGGAATTTGTCAAAACAAACCCTCTCATCCCCCCACAAGTTTCAATCAGAAGAGTCCAGGCCAGCTTTATCTGTATATTAGTACATTTCATGGACAAGAAATGCCTTAAGGACTAAAACAGTGCAGCACATACAGTATTTAAGTGCTAAAATGGATGCCTACTATATAATAATCCAGAAAAACAGTTTGAAATCTTTTCCCCAATTCAGCACATTTCTTGCCGTTTACCTTAATCACCAATTTATAATACAAAAAGCTTAACAAGGCCATTTTAAAAGGCGTGTTTATAATAGACCTGAAAATTGCATTGACATTTTTGTCCTCTTGCATATGGTATTTTCTAACCAAAATTGTACCTAGTATACATTTTATATCAGCTGGCACAATCTCACACACTTTCCGAGCCTACTCCCATCATCACTACAGTGATATTAGTCTCAGGGTCATGATAACTTTCAGTAATGGTGGAAGCAATATTTAAAAGGCTGAAAATAACTGAAAAAGTTCTTACCTGGAGAAAAAGGGTGATTTTGTGCTTAATGCACTGAACTGAGATGCAGAGTTCTAATCCCAGCTATGACATGGAGTTCATGTATGACAAAAGGTAAACCATTTAATCTCTACCTCAGTTCTATCTGAAAAATGGGGTTAATACTTCAATTTTTTCCTATTTATTAGACAAATCTTTGGAATAAGCACAGCCTATTATGTATTTTCAGTGCCTAGCTGAAGGAGCTCCTGATCTTAGTCAAGACGTCTATGTGCTCTAGTGATACAAATACATAAGCAAGCCATGGTGAATACACAAAATTAATAAGTACAGCTGCCTTGGAAAATAGTATTTTGTCAAAACTAAAATGTTTTGTGGAAACTTAATTTGACAAAGTGTGCTTGGAAGGTTTCAGGTGCAACATGGAATTTCTGAGGTGGGGAAAAGAACAGGCAAGTTCCCTAATTACTAGTCTACCAAAGTCAGTCTTCTTTCTGGTCCCATAAATATTTATTTACACAAAGTGGAGCAGCGCCCACAGGAAAGACTGAGAAGAGAATGATTGGTGTCCAGTGTTTTTTCAAGAAAAAATTTGAAAGGTCTCTTTTGTTGTGTTGCCAAATGTGAAAAATTTCTTTTTTTCACAAAAGGAAATTCTCGTCTGGCCAGCCCAATAAGGGTCTGATACTTATTCGATGGCAGCAGGCCCTTGCAGACCAGAAAGCAAACAAACAATTAAAGCAGTGAAACTGCATACAAGATTTGTCCAACCAGGTGCAAAGGAGAATGCATCAACATCCCTCCCCACTGTGAGTACCTGTATGTGAACAAAGAGCTCCAGTCCTTCACTGGAAAGGAGTCCCCTGAATCTGACCAGTTTAAATCCATTATATTTTTCTGGTGTGTCTCGTAAGGATTTTATCCACATCTAAAAGCAAGAGCTATCACCCCATATAGCTGCCAGCGACAAGCACCAAAACACTAAGTGGTACCATAGCAGTCCAGTCATTTCAACTTGAGGAATGAATACATGAAAAGGTCAGAGGACCACAAACATTATTTAGGGGCAGATTCTCAGCATTGGTCCACTGCCTTTGTTCAATTCAGGTGCTACAAAGGGAATAGAAACCAGCCACAGAAATTCCCATGCTTTGATTCCCAGCAAGCATAGTTATTTCCGGTACCTCCTTCCCCACAATCCCCAGCAAAGAGGATTTAGGGTCAGGAAGGAGGAATGGTTGGTGCAGTTTTATTCACTTCACCCATAGCTGGTGTTTGGTCCCTTACATCATAATTAAATTCACATTCATATACTTTTGAGGGCCACAATTTAGATCCCCAAAGAGGCACACGTGACTCCTGGACCACAGGCTGCACACCATCAGACTGCAGAATCTCCATATTTGCTTCCCTTCCTGGTCAATTTAAATCTTCCGCTGTATTTGTCAAGTCCCAGCTCAGTATCCATTAAAATGGAGATCTTAGAAATATATTGGGCACTTTGTGCCCAGGCATTGGAATTACACCTGACCTGGGGTCTTAGTTCATATATACTATTTCACAGAAAGTTAGTGTATCCCTATGTGGAACTAAAACCTGCGGAAGATATCTCACTCCAGTTAGCAATGTGGGGTGGGGCAGGAGAGAGAGAATGGAAGAATAGCAAAACCACAGACTTGCAAAAAATCTCAGACTTTAGAAGAGCAAGAAACCCTAAATTAAGTATTTTAGTCATTCCATATATATTATCCACTCTTCATACACCAGGGTGGGTTTATTTTGCTGTTCATATTAAAGGAGGATAGTAATTACATCTTAATGATTGTACAGTAGGGCTTAGAGTAGATCCCATTTGTGCTTCAGTAGGAGACTACAGGATCTACTGCAGACGTCCTTTGCTAGAGTGAATGACAGTCACCTTAAACACACCTTAAAACCAGTGTAGACAAGCCTTAACCACACAGCTGAGGTTCTCATTTTCAAACATTTTAGTTATGAGTGAGAAACAGTCCTAGTCCCTACTCGTACTACTTTAAAGAAAGTCATTTTTTCCTCTGATTCCAATGCTTATTTTTAAGCTCCAGGCTTTCCATGGCCTTCCCCTTCATTGACGATTAAAGCCAAGATCCTCAAATGAGTTTAGGCACTTACTTCACATTGATTTCAGAGGGAGTCAGGCATTTAAACACATCATATTTCCAACTCCTGCCTTTCTTCCCCCCCCCCCCCCATACACCCAAATCCAGTTTTCACAATTATTTCAGAAGGCATTTGTCCTCAGTGAACACTAAGTCCATGGCAAGTCTGAAGCTTAAAAGATCACCCCTTATTATCTGAATTATCTATGGAGGATTCTGATCTCTTCCATCCACCGTTAAGAATGCATTGCATAGAGTGTAAATCTAGGAGACGTAATCAAGTGGAGCTAACTGAAGGGGAGTATGGGCTTCTTCTGCAATCTTTCTAGAAAGACAGCTAGACAGACATTCTTCAAATTAGTTGTCTGGAAGCTTGTATTCAACTAACCTTCGATCATTTAAACATATATTATACTCACTATCCAGCGTCACTCAAGTGAAGATTAAAATATTCTGAAGTTTATAAAACAAGACAAAAAGCCAGATTTGCAAAACACCAAATATATATTTACATCCACATGTAATAACATTCAGCTAAAGTGAAATACATTATAAATTAAATGAGTAACGTGTCTACTGCTTGACAACTTAAGGTTTCAACAATCTTAAAAAAAATCAGACAAAATAGAATGAAATAAATAAAACAAAATCAACAACTTGTACCTCTATACATGCACTGTTCTCTCCAAAGAAACATATAAAAACCAGTAGTATCCCAATAGTTAATACTGATGGGCAAAAGTATACTTTGAAGTACAGGGCTGTAACTCCATGAAATGGGCAAATCTTTAGGTACATTGTTCTCTAATCCATTCCCGAGAGATTTAGGAGGAGGCCAAAAAATAAAACTTGAAAAAGTGTACCAGCATGAAAAAAAGATTTTTAAAGACAGATTTGGCAATTCAGATTTCATTCTTAATGCAGCCCTGTGGAATTTTTAATCACATATCCCCTTAAAACGTATAAAGACTGTTCCAGCATGCATTCTATAAGATTCATTGAAAGATCAGACAAAAAAATAGATTAGCCATCTTCCAAGTGAATTCATCTTCAAAAAAATAAGCTATAAAAGTGCAAAACTAGGAAAACAATCTAGATTATGTACATATGGCTCAGCTTATGAACAGGAAAAAAAGTAAATAGTGTACAATTTCCTGATACACAGCACTTCATTACATCGCCAGTTTACAGAGACATTAAAATTAGGTTCCATTTAAATTACAGGAACTAAGCCATACAACTAGAAAGTCTCAATTTGCATAATGAAAACAAGAATTTCTATGCTTGGCTATTTTACAATTGCTATATGAAGGGCAAAGAGCAAAATGAACAGTGCAAAAAAAATATTTTTTTTACTAAAATATATGGAATTCAAAATTAGGTACAGAAGAATCAAGTCTCAATTACAGGCTTTATGTAGAAACAAAAAAAGTCAAAATATGCAACAGCTCAACTGGCAGATATCTGGCCATCCTCTAACAAGTTTAGTTGCCTGTGCATTAGAAAAAACTCCTGCTGTCTTCATAAAAATACAGGGACCACAGTTCTCCCATAGCAGATTGTTCCTTAGTATACTTCCAACACTTCAGTTTGTAATTAAGATGCTAGGAGGGATTTCAAGAAGCTTCCGAGCACAGTCAAGCAGGCCAAACCATGATAAGCCACATCCCCTTAAGAAAACTTCGCAGTTCCATATGGTTTTTATTGTAAGCCTGTTACATATTTATGTTATTTTTGAGTCTGGACAAAATGATGCAAAAATAAAGATACTATGTTTTTCCTAAATGAAAGTGTATTACATTTGGTAAAAACCTAAACACTTGAAGTATTCAAATATTTCCTGTTTGTCCTGCGAGTCCTCCGTACATTCTGCTACTAGAGTTTTTAACAGTTGGTGGAGATATTCATTTCAGAGACTATGAAATTAACATAAGGAGAGAATTCTGACTGTCCCAGGAACACTATGAAAGATCCTGAACAGGATGTGACAAGAACTGCTTCTCTCTTTTGCTTTTTAAGATAAGTTGCTGGAAACATCAATTCAACAGAAGCAGAGAGTTTGCTTCAACAAATTATGGTCCTAGTATGTGCAAGATTGAACAGCAAAGAGTTAGCACCTTAGCTAGGATGATCACAATACTTCTAAACTGAACAATTTAATGTCATAGTTCATTTGAAAAAGTTATTTAAAAACTAACAGTAATAGCAGAAAAAACGCAAAATGAGAAACTGCCACCTCTATGAAAAAGGAACAGTAGTTAAACCAACATGCTTAGATATTTACAGAGTTTACCTGAGGTGCAAGGATTATATACTATTTCAAAGAGGATCTCTTTTCAGCAGCACTCAAGTACATAAAAATATAATTCCTACCTAATATTTGGTCAATTAATTCTAAAGAAAAATATTATTCAAGACCAACATTGAGATATACATTCTCCACACCTTTATAACCCAACTGTTCAGACTACAATTTTTTATGACTATTTGGTACAAATGTTAACCGAACCAATATTATAAAACTGTAGTGTTTTATATACAGTACAATCACAGCTTAGTTCAGTAGCTTTCACCATTCATTTCTCTCAAGGGATGAACTGCAAGTAATAACTCCACAAAAATTGCATTTGCGTCCTCAGACCTAGAACAAACCAAAAATAGTTTTGTGCTATAAACTAATAAAATTCAAATAATGCAGCTAGAGAAAGATCTTTAAATATTAAAATTGAAATTTATATACACGTTCTTTAATAGGCATATTTAGACACAATGTTTTCACATGAAATGTGGCATCTATTTGGTAGATTAAAAATTGGCAATTAAATCAGCTTTTCAAGACATTCAAACCATGAATAGAAATATAAGCAGGAAATAAAGTTAGACAGACAGATATCCGGGCGGGGGGGAGGAAGAGAAACTTGAGTGGGAGGTATTTAGCAAAAAATGGTCAAAAGAGACCCAAGAGACAGTGCTGTAGCAAAACAATCTAACGTGCAGTAGATATAAAAGCTTTGCTTTATGGACTAGAGGTGATAGTTCAGATCTCTAGAGCACGTAGAACAATATGTAAATTATTGTATAGGTCTGGACACTGCAGCATTCAAGCAGCATCTACCTGAACTGGAAGAAATTCCAGAAAGAGGAACAAAAACAGAGACTAGAGAGAATTAATATATAAAGCAAGAGTAAAAACTGGATACAGAACTGTTTATGTTCATCAACTGAGCATATAAACATGTCAAAAACAGTTCCCTCTCACTGTTGAGGATATGGTAAGAACTACCCTAGATTTTAGTGACTTGAGACAGGTGGATTATGTGACTTGACCAAGGTTACATAGAAATCCCAACTCCAGAGTTACAGCCGACTGCCTTGATTACAAAAGACTTCCCCCTACCCCTCTTGGGGAAATAACTAACTAATAAGGTTATATAACTCCAAGCACATATAATACATGAGGTGTCAATGTCAAGGAGTTGAACATCAGGAAGTGTTTCCAGAGGAATGATACACAGGATGTCATGCAATCTCTACCCAGAAAAACAGTTAAAGCTTGACTCAAGCAGTGGAACTTTAGTTATTTCACACCATCTTGTGTATATTCAAAAATGCAGTGCAATGAACTGGCAGGGAAATTTGTCGGACATGATAGCTTAGATATCAAGTTTAGAGATCAAGTTTTCATAAGTGCATGAATCCTAGCTAATATCAGCTGCCTCCTCATTTGTAAGTTAATTCTCCATGTAGGTTTTTAAACTCACATTTTAACTTTGTGTACATCCTTCCCTTGAACACTTTAATAGACTGATATTGTAACCCTTTAAATCTAGTTTAATAGATTTAATTTAAATATTGTTAATGCTCCCATTTATTTTGGAAAACAAGTTCCTCCACATTTACTATCAAGGGTGAAGGTTCTAAACCAAGTCATTTGGACTTTTCAAAAATACAATCCTAAACACTGACCATGATACTTAGTTAATTTTTCATAGTAAAGGGGACTTTTGTATTCTTCTCACTGACCTAATTCACATAATTTTTTTCCATAACTCTTCTAATAATTTCACGTACCACTATACTTGATGCCAGATTTAACAAATATCAAAAGTAAAGTCATTTAACAGGATTGTTTACCATTTCTTGAAGTAAATAATCAAGTTTTCTTGTCATTTGGTCGAAAACGTGCATTGCCAATAAAACTCTCATAACTTCGCTTTTGTAGCATGCTGTTAGATAAGTGTTGGTATGACACCGGCCTTTTTCCTGATAAAGTAAATTTTAAGAGGAATTAACAAGATTAGTTGGAAAACAAGGCTCATCATACAATTTACTCAATGCCCTTTTCATTTGCAAGTGAAGTGATTTTATAGTGCCTTTTCACCCAATGATTCAAAAGTGCTTTACACAAACTACTTATGTAGGTACGCTTTGCCACTGAAGTGCAGACCGCTATGGAGTAGAAGACAGCACTCAAACCAATGCACAGCACAACAATTTTAGAGGTACAATAAAGACATATTGCAGAAGAACAATCCTAAAAAAGTGGTATGGAATTTTAGGCATCTAAGAAAAATAAAAACTTAATATTAAGGCCTTATATGAAACATCACTCCCATATACACATAAAGGTTCCATCACCCTTTCATTCTACTAAGCGTATGTAGTCACTACCCACTGGATAGGTGGGCAGCAATCGATCGATATATCACGTCTAGACTAGACGTGATAAATCGACCCCTAAGCGTTCTCCCATCGACTCTTGTACTCCAGTGCCGCAGGGAGAGTCGACTCACCGCAGCAGAGACACCATAGTAAGTCGATCTAAGTATGTCGATTTCAGCTACGTTATTCACGTAACTGAAGTTGTGTAACTTAGTTAATTCCCCCTCCACTCCCCACCCCTCCCATGTAGACCAGGGCTTAAAGTTTTCCTCTTACACAGATCAGCAACATGTAAGCACAATATAACACACAAGTTTTTTCAAAACAGCTATTATTTATTAAAAGACCAGTATACTAGTCTAAAAGTGAATATTTCCAATGAACTAGAATCTACATTGCCTTATGTCTATCACAACAACTTTTATTGGGCTTGCATTGTAAACTACTTTACAGACGTGTTCAATTTAATTTATTTTAAAACTGAACAAGTCATCTGTCTTAATGATGTGGTGCTAGGTACAGGATTTCTACCTCCTCTATATGCTTTATATGCATCATTTTCAAACAGAAGTTTTTGATAATTTACTATGCCATGGTAACAGGCTGCATTTCAAGTTTAAGTTTATTTTCAACGTGATAGTAAGTGTACAGAAAGCTTTAGGGTTGTTGTTTTTTTTTTTTAAATCTTTGTATGTATTTACATGGACAGACTTTGTAATGCCATTACCAAGGCAGTATTGTGCTTATTGATTTAATTACTAAAGGGATCACTTAAGATTTCTAAATACAGGTTTAAATCAATACTTGATCATATTAAATCTTATGCAATGTTTTTCACCTAAGCTAATAAAACTTAGAAAAAGGTCATGTCTGTTTCAAGAACCAATACTCCATTAGGATACAAAAGCTAAACTACTGTCTATATTCCATGAAAGCCTTAAATGCAGTGTGAAAAAACCAGTAAGGCTTTAATTAAATTTAAATGGCAAAACTAAATTAATTTCAACATAATCTACAAAATTGCTGGAATGTGTCTGAGCAATTGTCTTCAATTTTCAGTCTCGGCCAGATCAATCAGCCAACAGGTTACACTTGATAGAGTGTTGCCACTGCAAAGGATGACTAATTTGAGAGTAACACAAACTAAGCGGTTTCAGAATGTTTCTGTCTCTTCAGGGCAATGCAAACTGGCACAGTTTACGAGCAATAAACGTGGTTTAATCAAGTTTGCCAAATGGAACATATTCTCATGACAATTTGATCCAGCATTTAACGTGATATAACATGTTCATAGGACCTAAATAATGTTTCCACAAGACAAAACAGGCCATAAAAAGGGGTTTAACATCATGTTTTAGAACATCAGGGAGAAATAAGGGTACCAGAACTTGCAGCTGTACACCTGCAAACTATTTGCATATGCTATCTTATAAAACATATCCCTTAAGAGTTGCTAGTTGTTACTACTTTTAGGTACACCTGCATACTTTTAATGTGTAAGAAAGTTTCTCTGTAACTTATACCACAGAACAACATTAGACTTCTTTTCAATCTGCAACCTGTCCATTAAGTGTCTAATACTTATCACAATTTGGCTGTCTCCTCTTCCCAAACCCAACCCCCCCCCCCCCCCCGCCAGCCCCAAAAACAAATCCATCTGAATTTACTCATGTATGGGGCACCATCAAGAGGATTATCTGAGAGTTGGAGGCTAATGGAACAAGTCAATGAGATGAGAGTTTGCAAGAGGTTTAATTATTTTTGAATGTCATCTCAAAAATGTATTGGCCTAGAAAGTCTACCTTTGGTTTCTATCTAGGTACTTCTAAGGCTTCTTCAATGTAGTATCTAATTGAGGCCTTTTGACCATTTATGGGGGAAAATGGTGGTTTAGATGACTAAGAAGTGGAAACTACAGAATCTATTTGATGAAGTTTACATTCTCAGCTGCAAGCTACAGACCTTACTGCCTCGAGGTGCAGAAAACTGCACCTGTAGGACTGTTCCTATAGATATAGTAATTGCCACATGCTGCAATATGTGTATTATGATGTCCACAAGCTCAGATTTCAGAAGCAGAATTTCCATCAGATGCCATAAAGTTTTAGCATAGGAAGAGGGCTAGGTTTGCAGATGTTTTTAAGAAGCATAAAGGAAGGAGAAAATCCAGGTGAACTCCAACATAGGCATTACAGGAATCTAGATAGAGTTTCTCATGCTTTGTTGCTTCTGTAAGTTGAACTCAATCACACAAAAGGGGTTTGTTGCATTCCCAACCCCTGCAAATTCCCATCCCTTTATTTCAGGGACTCCCTGAAATTCCCTCATTTCCCTTTGTCTCTGGCTGTGTCTGTCTCACCTCCATAACTTCTCCTGCCAACCCATTGTACCCCATTCTGCCATGTGGCCTCCCTTCCCATCCTGTACTCCATGTCACTATTCTTATTATCTCCTCTCAGGCAGGAAAAGCCATTCAGGTTGTCAATATTTTGAACTGAGAGGATTGGCAGACCTGAGATAGATATATACAGATGTGTGCGCACGCATACGCTACTAGATGCGAGCAAGGGGCTTGATGTGTTCCCCTCAATTTCCTCCTCCTGGATTTCACCAGAATCAGTAGGGTTCTATTCATTAATACCTAGAACATTTCTTGAAATTTTGGATTATTGCATGTAGGCCTTGCGTTGCATGGCCAATGATGGCTTCAAGATCCACAGAAGGCCCTCATTTAGACTGAAGGACAGACCATCAGTTTCTTCTGAGCATGTAAACTGAACATTATTCACAATAAGCAGTTTAACCAAAAGATGAAAGGCCGAGACTGTTTCAGAGTTTATAAATGTGACTAGTGGATGGCTGTTTCTGTGTCTAGCCGTCAACTGGTCAAAGAAGTTACAGGCTCTACCTCTGCTGCCAATGCGGTCTTGTGTTTTATTGAAAATACATAACGGTAGCAAAGTAACGTTTACAGACAGATAACGTCCACATCAAATTAAGGCTTAAATGCTTTCTAAAAGTAAACTCCCACATTAAAAAAACTTCAGTACTCAGCTAAAGTTAAGATTTTATCCATAACTTCTGCGAAAAGCCAGGTTACTTAAGGTATTTCGATATATTTCTCTTTTCAAAAAGCCCATCCATCAGACTATTTCCCCCCTTTTACTCCCTTTCTTGTTATTTATATAAGAATGAAGACATACAGCCTCCCAACCCAGAGAACCCATACCCAACTCACTATTTCATGCGTCTCCAAAGCAAGTCACATACCCTAGCAGCCAACGTTAACATTCAAGGCCTGGGCTTGAATGCTTAAAAATTAAATTAACCTAGCTATGTTGCTCAGGGCTGTGAAAAAAGGTCATGCCCTGAGCACCATAGTTAGATCGACTTAATGGAAGAATCCTTTTTCAACCTGGTTACTGCCTCTCAGAGATGTGGATTAGGTACATTGATGGAGAAACCCCTTCCATCGATGTAGTGTAGTGTAGAAATATCCAACACCTTAGCTGTGCTGCCGTAGCCTACACATGGCAGAAGACACTGCCCATGTGACTAGGAACCACAAATATAATTTCAAACACTCAGAAATGAATCAGATACTGCATTCCACCTCTCATCCATCAGATGAGAAATAAAGCTGTCACTCTTCCTCCCATATTCCCACTAGTGGAGACTAGGTTTACACATCTCTACCCAAAACCACCCACACCAACACCCACTATACCTTTCAACTTCCAAATGCAGGTTTAATATGTTGCCATCACTACATCTGCTATAACCTGAACTGGTTCAGCAATATTGGTTACACACCACAATATACTATAAATGTATTACCTTATTTCCACAGAGGACAAGTTGCTTCATACGCATGCTTCCACGGAGCTCAGTGGTTATGAGGCATAATTAAAGTTAAGAAATTCTTTCTATGTCTACAACATTTTGAGAGTTTTTGTAAAAAGCAATTGATATAGATAAGTTGCAAAGATACATCTTTCAAATCATATGTCAGACTATAAATAGAAAGCCACTGAGTTCTACATAGTACAGCATTTCAACTTTGGTGGCTGTGTTAGACTGCAGTACAAGAGTACAAATAAAAATAGGTGAAGATAGAAATGGCAAGATCCCAAGTTCAAGTTTTTTTTCCCCATAAGTAAATTTAGTGTCTCAAGTCCACGTTGACCTCAGTGGGAGCTCTCAGATGTTCAACATTTTGTAAAATTAGGCAGGTGCCTAAAAATGGATTCATGCATTTCACTTTAGGCTCCTGGTTTTGAAAATCTTGGTTAAGAGTGATATTTACCAAATGAAGTTACTACAATAAAATGTTAATACTATTGATTAGTGATGGGACTTTTCAATTTGAATATTAAACAGACACATTTAGTTAGACACATTTCTAATGAAGTGTTCAGCTTCTATTAAAAATTACGTATTAATGTAACCCACTGAAGTTTTTAGTTCAGATGTAGAATATATAGGGTTAAGGCAGACCTGAAGTAAGTTTTACAGGATTTAATATATTTTGGAGGTTGGACTTTTTTTTTTTTTTTTTTTTTTAAATGCTCTCTTTGGAAGAAATTTGATAAACATTCCATGGGGTCCAAGGTTTCTTTGCATGAGATGCTAAATGTTTAACATTTAGCATTATAATCCTTTAATATACTCTAGAAACATTAACTGACCATCTGCAATGAAGGTTGGGAGTACTAACAGTAGTACATATTTGACATCAAAGAATAAGAATAGCTGTCATAGTAACACTTAAAAATTAACCTTTTAGAAAACTTCAACTTCCTGCAACAGATGTTTGTTATTGTTTATATGAAGCAACAAGTTACACTGATTGAATTTGAAGTCTGAATACTTCCTGTGACCTTAAGTTTATCATAAGCCATTGAGTAAGATAATAAAATGCTGACAAACCATCATTTGCACCAGTAGATACTAGTGATGCAGAGACAGTTTTGTGCATTTAAATATCTGATTTGAATCATTTACCTTCAAGTTAGAGCAAAAATTTAAGTTTTACCAGAGTTATAGTTGAGTATAAACAGAGAAAATACAGTACCTTCTATTGGAGAGCTGGTTGCTTGGCCATTGCTAGGTCCAAAAGAACCATAAAGTGGTCCAGGGCTATATGGCTCATAGGTTTTCAGAATAGTTAGTACATTTCGAGAATCAACTTCATCTGAATTCAGAAGCCCTTGTTTGGTTGGCAAAACAGAGGATGCAGGTTTGGCATGTGAACATTCCTGAGGTAACAGATTTGCATATCTGTTTGCAACACGAGATCTGCTCATGTCATATCTTCTGTAATTAATCCTTGCAGAGTCAACGTGTTCAAGAGCTAACAGATTAGGTTTCACTCTTTTAGAGGATGGTTCACCAAATTCTAAGTTTATGTGACCCACAGATCTATTGCAGAGATATTCTCTTCCTCGATTACTGAGCCAGGCAGATTCATTAAGAGGAGAATCATAGGAGCAATTGATGCTGCTACTGACTACACCAGGTTGAGAAGCTGATATATTTAGAATTTTTGCTTTAGGTTCAGCTTTTTTCACTCTATCCATTACTGAAGAAATACTAGGATTTGAGTACATATCTTGCTGTGGTTGCCGACAGCTACTCGCCTGAGCGCCAATGCTTTGTGGTTTGTAAGACTTCAAGTTACTTGGCGCTGAACTGCTGGGATCTACAGTAGAAAAAACAGGGACTTTGCTCTGTAGAGGGGGACACTGTTTAGTCTTCTCTGTATGCAACTGTTTTGGTTGCATAGATAGGGAAGCCTTGCTTTTATTAGGGTTAAGAGACATGGGAAGCACATCTTTACCAAGAAGAGCTGGTGGGCATCCAGTACGCCTGGCTTTAGCCAAAGCCTTGTTTCTGTAACCATTTTTGTTAACAGTGTCGGGATTGTATTTATGCATCAACCTCTGGTGTATCATAAGGACTTCTGGATAAAACGTTCTATAAGTACAAAATGGGCAGGTGCTGGTTGCTAACAAGCCTTTAGCAGTTGAGATCACTGAACATTCTTGCACTGTCCCAGTAGATAAATTTAACGGCTTTTCTTGAGAACCCATTATATGCTTGTGTTTGCATTTTTCGGCGCTCTCTCTCATTTCTTCCACATTATTTATGTCCTTTAAGGCACCAATCAACTGGATATCATCTCCCTCCAATGTCACTAAAGCATCTCTCTCTTTTTTATCAATGGGATTATTTGCCTGAGATTCCATTGCTTTTCCCTCTGCTTTTAGCTTATCCAGGTAAGGAGCGTCTGAGTTCTCATTCATTTGATTTGAGCTATTACCAACTGCACTCTTCTTTAAGTCCCGAGTATCATTTTTCATGGTCAAGATGACTGGACCACCCAATATGCTCTGAAAGGAAGACAATATCTCTTTTTGTTGCTTTACAGGTGGGCAGCCCTTTGCATCTTTGGCACCATCAATAAACTTTTTGGTTTCTTGAGCACCATCAGTGGCTTGCAGGAGGTCCATCCCCTGACTCTGTAACAAAACTTTGCTGTCACTTTTCACATCTGTTGTGATATCAGCCTGCTTCTCCTTGTGATGCCTCTCTAAATGATACCTCAATGATGTTTTCTGGGCTGCTGCATACTCACAAAATTCACATTTGTATGGTTTTTCACCTGAAACAGTTTCATCAGAGAAAAAGTTTGATGCATATTGATTTAAAATCTTCAACATAATTAAATGATTCAATGAGTTTTAGAATTCACAAGACTAAGAAAATATAGTGTTCTTCTTTTCTCCTCCCCCTGCTCAAAACACACACATTTCTTATGCAGGCTCCAAATTGATCTATGACCCCTAAGAACTATACCTAGTGGTTGTTTGTGGGCGGTTTGTTTGTCTTTTTGTTAACTACAGTGACATCTTCTGGTTAGGATGAGAGTTTTTCCTACATGTTCAGAAGGTGTACGGATGGCAGTTAGCAATCTGTTGAGCACAGATAAAGGAAATAAGCATAATTAAAGGGACCCCGTTTGATCAATTGCAGCCACATGTCGGCATGGCCAAAGACAACACGGGCTGGTCAGCAAATGGGAATAATATTAGCCAAATGTATAAACAGTCCTTTGAGAAAAAAATAGGGACATTTCCGTTCATTAAATACACTGACAGACAGTTTCTTTGGAGGAGGAGTACATATGGGGTATGGAAAAGAAGCTTTACTGAAAACAGGGACAACAGTCTCTGACACAGCAGCAGTGGCACATACTTGGGAGTTGTATTCTGGATTTTTAAAAGCAGTGTGATAATTAGACAAGGGTGAAAGGCAGGATACAACATTACAAATCAAAGTGTAGCAGAGACATAAGAGTCCAGCGTGAGTCTAATTTACAGTAGATTTGAGTTTAGGAAATTAGAATAAATATGCATCGCTGTTTAAGGCTATGTTTCATTTACACTTCAGTTGCAACATTGGAGATTTTAGATCTTAGTTTTAATTTCTTCTTAACAGGAATCTAAAGTTCCCTCTGATCTCGCTTAAGCAGACCTTCTCCTGAAGAATTTAAAATCCTTTACCTGTATGAGTTCTGAGATGAATATTGAGGTAATAATTTGAGCGGAAATATTTTCCACAATAGCTGCATTCTCTTGAGGCCCCAAGGTTTTTAACTTTTGCTCTTTCCAAGCCATCTTCATTTTTATCTTTGTAAGGAAAAAAAACATGCAAACCCACATTATGAGGAGTAAATGTAAATTTGGGCTCCATTTGTTTCAACCTCAAAAGCACAAGTGTCTGCTAGAAATCACCTCCCCCCCCCCACATTTAATTAGGGGGAGGCTAGCTCCCAATATAGATCAGCAAAAACCCCTCTGATCTATTTTACTGCACACTCCTGCTATCTGACTGTCAAGAGAGTTTTAAGAGACTTCCAGTTGTGCGTCAGATAGTATTGTGGTTTGTGACTGATGAAGGATCCATTGGGATTTAAACAAAATCCAAAGCTAGGCCCTAAGAGTTGAACAAATACATTTCATTAACTTTAATCATGTATGCCTCTCTCCATTGTGTATACCATATCTTATAAATCCTTTATGGCCCACAAACAGACCAAATGTTTTCTTTAAGACAGGAATTTAAACTAGACAAGATAAGATACAGGCTTATAGTACACTACTGCAGAAATTAGTTTGCACTAATCAATGGAATATCGTGGCTGGGGGAGACCATTTTAGTATCAACAGGTCTTGGTAAAATGGTCTTCATTTTTTGTCCCTGGGAATTATTAATACTTAAGTTGAGATCTGGCAAACATACAGGGGAAAGGAAGTGACATGACTAGTGTTTCACAGATTTTAACATTTTTTTCAAGTTTGCAGTTAGAAAAACTTTGTCTCTTTCTGTAAGTGTAAGCACCAATAGTTACCACTAGAGGGTAGCAAGTGCAGCATAATGTCTAACAAGGAAGAGGAGAAAGTTTTATTCATGAATACTATAAAAGTCAGTCAACTTTTTTTTTTTTAAATCAGGCTGCATTAAGTACACATTTAGAACACTAACTGTCACTACTCAGATCAAAATGGACTAGGAAGGATTTTGTTTTTAGTAAATTCATCCTTTTACTTGGTTAATCACTTAGTTTGTCAAATACCAAAGTGGCTTCAAATGGCTCAAACTTGTGCTGAAAGTATTTTATTTTTATTTTTTAAAATTTATATATAGTAGAAAATTTTGTGATAGTTTTAAAACACACCCATTCAAACTGATGTATGCATTGGAACTATGACTCAACATCTCATGATAACTGTTTTAATGCAGGAAGATAACAGCAACTGAGAAGAAGCAACAAGAAGTACATTTAGCATTTCTTAATTGAATCAGTAACACAGCAGCCAAACTAAGAGTTGTACATTGCTAAAATTGGAAAAAATGCAATAGTGTGTGCCAGGACATTCTGTACACTGTGTCTTGAGGTTATGCAAGTATCCTTTCTTTAAATGCAGACACAAAGTATGTCACATGTAAGATGAAGATGCAAGACCACAGTTAGAAATTCTAACCAGTTAAAATACCATCTTTGCTTTTTTTTTTTTACCCTAATCCCCAAAAGAGTACAATAAATGTTAACTCTAGAGGAATTGTTAAAGTTTTAATGTTCCATATATTCCCGTCCTACACAGGATTAGAACTTTGAATCTCAGCAGTAACAAACAGTTTGATCCCGACTACTCTGGCCAAGGAAACTGTGTTAGCACTTTTCTTCCAAGTAGTGTATTTAAGCATACCGGTCTCTTAGTCAATTCACATGCCAGTAACTTGCCTACCTTTCCTCTTTCTGGTAATTTAAGGATGTTGGTCCATAACATTGAATTTTGCTAACTTCACATCATTCAAGGGAATATGCTACACACAAGAGCAGTGACCAAATTGTTTAGAGTTAATTCTTCAGTTTTTAAAGTTCTAATATCTGCAGATACTAAACATTAGAGACTGTTCTGCCTGCCTCCACAAAAGCAGAAAATGAAGAATAACTTTCATTTTACAATATGGCAAGACCATATGGGGAAGAAAAACTGGAAATATTAGTCCATAAGCTAAAATTACTACTTAACTGCATCACAGAGACTGGGTGAGAAATCTCATGGCTAGAATATGGGTTGCTCAGGAAGGATGGGTGGGGGAAAAAAGGAGGTGTTGCATTAGACCTCAGAAATACACATTTGTTTGGAGGTCCAGAAGGAGATTAGAGGCAGACCATTTGAAAGTCTGAGGAAGATAAGAGAAGAGAAGAGAACAAAACAAAAACAGAAAGAGGGGCTGTGTCATGGTCAGAGTCTAGTATACGCAAAAAGAAAAGGAGTACTTGTGGCACCTTAGAGACTAACCAAATCAGGAGGAGGGGTTATATGAGACATTTCTAGATCAATCAATAGAAATATCCAAAAAACACTAGATCTGATAGAAAGGGAGGACTGATTGCCCAGACATCTGTTGGAAAAGTAATATGTCAAAATACAAAATGCCCAGTACATTCTTGAACAACTTTTTGTTTCTAAAGGTGGAAGTAGTAATTAAGTAGACTTCATTCTGACTAACAAGGAAGAATTGGTTGTAAAGCTGAAAGTGGAAGGCAATTTGAGTGAAAGTGATCGTGAAATTATTGATTCTAAGGAAAGGAAGGAGTGAGAACACCAAAATAAGGACAACAGACTTAAAAACAAAACTAACAAGCCCAGAGAACTGGTAGTTAAGGTCCCATGGGAAGAAAATCTAAGGGGAAAAGAAGTTCAGGAGAAACTGCCAGCTCTCAAAGAGACAGACACACAAAAGCAAACTACTCCCACATGGAGGAAAGAGGCCAGTAGGACTCATTAGGAACTTTAACAACCTGGAGGAAAAAAAACCCAAAAGGAAACCTACAGAAAGTGGAAACACGGACACATTGTTAAGTATATGTACAAAAGAATAGTACAAGCACGTAGGGACAAAATCAGAAAGATTAAGGCACAACGTAAGTTACACCTAGCAAGGGACACAACAAGCAGTAAGAAATGACACACACACACGTACTTAACAAGAGAAGGATGAAGGAAAGTGTAGGTCCTATACTTAGCAGGGAAGAAGAGTGAACAACAGATGGCTGAGGTGTTCCTATTTTGCTTCAGGCTTCACTAAAAGGGTAAATTGTGATCAGACACTTAACACAATTAAGATTAACAACAAGGGGGAAGGAACACAAGCTAAAATAGGAAAACAGGTTAAAGAACACTTTAGTTAGATGCACTCAAGTTGGCAGGGCCTGACTGAATGCACCCTAGAGTACGTCAGGAACTACCTGAAGGAATATTGGAACCATAAGCGATTATCTTTCAGAACTCATGGAGCACAGGTGACGCCCCATAAGACTGAAGAAGGGTAAACATAATACCTATCTTTAAAATGGGTAACAAAGAACTTGGGAATTGTAGACCAGTCAAGCTATCTTCAATACGTGAAAAGATACTGGAACAAATGATTAAACAATCAATTTGTAATTACCTAAGGGATAACAGAGTTATAAGGCCAATATGGATTTGTTAACAACAAATCATGCCAAACCATGGCATTTCCTTCTTTGATAGGGTTACTGGCCTGGTAGATTAGGGAAGTTGTAGATGGGATATATCTTGAGTTTAGTAAGGCTTTTGGCAGTCCAATGTGATATTCTCATAAACAAACAAGAGAAATGTGGTCTAGTTGAAGTTACTATAAGGTGGGTGAAAGGCCATACTCAAAGAATAGTTGTCAGTGGTTCGCTGTCAAACAGTGGAATTGTATTGAGTAGGGTCCTACAGGGGTCTGTCCTGGGCCCAGCACTATTCAATATTTTCATTAAATGACATGGATAAAGGAGTGGAGCATATGCTTAATAAATTTAAGAATGACACCAGGTGAGAGAGGTTGCAAGCACTTTGGGGGACTGGATTAGAATTCAGAATAGCTTTGACAAATTGGAGAAGTGGTCTGAAATCAACAAGATGAAATTCAGCAAAGACAAGTGCAGGGTTTAATAGGTTTAACCGGCTAGTAGTAGCAGTAGTACTGCTGAAAAGAATTTGAGGGGTTACATAGCATCACATATTGACTGAGCCAACTATGTGATGTAGTTGCAAAAAAGGCTAATATTCTGGGGCGTAAAAACAGAAGTGTTGTAAATCAGACACAGGAGGTAATTGTCCCTCTCAACTCAGTAGAGGTGAGGCCTCAGCTGGAATATTGTGTCCAGTTCTTGGCATCACACTTTAAGTTGTGAAAAAATTGGAGAGATAATCCAGATGAGAGCAACAAAAATTAGAAGTTTAGAAAACCTGACCTATGATTAACCGTTAAAAAAGTGGGTAGGTTTAGTCTTGAGACAAGACGACGGGGCAGGGGCGGGGGGGGGGGAAGTGGGCTTGATAATTGTTTTCAAATATGTTAATGGCCGTTATAAACAGGGTACGATCAACTGTTCTCTATGTCCACTGAAGGCAGAACAAGTAATTGGTTTAATCTGTAAAACAAGCTGATTTAGGTTTGATATTGAAAAAGACATTCTAACTATAGTGATAGATAAACACTGAAAAGTTACAAAGGGAGGTTGTGGAATCCCCATTATTGCATGTTCTTAAAAACTGGACAGACAAACACCTTTCAGGGATTGTCTAGATGACCTCCTGAGGTCCCTTCTAGCCCTACATTTCTATGATTATTTTTCAAAAGAAAGTCACTATATTTGGACTATAGTTGCTAAGCAGTTTCTCAAGAAGAATTCTCTTCCTAGATAGGTTTCAGAGTAGCAGCTGTGTTAGTCTGTATCTACAAAAAGAACAGGAGTGCTTGTGGCACCTTAGAAACTGACAAGTTTATTAGAGCATAAGCTTTCGTGGGCTACAGCCCACTTCATCAGATGCACAGACTGAAACATATAGTAAGAAGATATATATACACACACACATACAGAGAAGGTGGAAGTTGCCATACATACTGTAAGAGGCTAATTAAATATTAGCCTCTTTCGTACAGTTTGTATGGCAACTTCCACCTTCTGTGTATATGTAGATACACACACACACCTTCTTACTATATGTTCCATTCTATGCATCCGATGAAGTGGGTTGTAGCCCACGAAAGCTTATGCTCCAATAAATTTGTTAGTCTAAGGTGCCACAAGTACTCCTGTTCTTCCTAGATAGTGCAAAAAAAAAAAAAAAGAGTACTAACTTAAGCTTGTACATTACACTGCATTTCATTTTAAGCCTGCAGTGACAACTAATTCTTTTTCCAGTGGCAATCAACTATTTAAAAGACTATTTTTTTAAAAAAAGAAAAGGAGTACTTGTGGCACCTTAGAGACTAACCAATTTGAGCATGACCTTTCGTGAGCTACAGCTTCATCACCGATGAAGTGAGCTGTAGCTCACGAAAGCTCATGCTCAAATAAATTGGTTAGTCTCTAAGGTGCCACAAGTACTCCTTTTCTTTTTGCGAATACAGACTAACACGGCTGTTACTCTGAAACCTTTTTTTTTTAAACCAGTTATTTTAGTAAATTTTTTCCCTAACCAATACCTGCACTTGCTATCCAGTTTGGTAAATTAATTTACCATCATAATTTCCTAAACCCAAAGCATAAACAGAAGGACATTAAATATTTTATATATGTTAATGAGATCTCAAAATGGAGATACCACCCCCTGGCATTTTATATCATCGTCTGGTCATTGTTTATGATGGACAAATTAGGCAGATAATTTAACATTTCCTTGCTTAGTACAAAAAAAACAAAACAAAGATATCTATGCTATTTTAATCTAAAATGTTCATATATACTTCTTACCTAAATGAAGGGTGTCTGGTAGTCCATCTTCAGATCCATCTTCAGAGCCTCCCTCTGTTCGATCTACTACTCCATTTTCATGTAGGGTTACAATTAAGTCTGCACAGTATGTTCTAGAAGTGGCTGAAGTCTCTGTATCAGTCCTCCTATCTCTCTTATGTACTCTTGAATGAAGAACTAGCTGGTGGTATGTTCTAAAGGCTTTGCCACACTCTGAGCAGTGTGTTGGTTTCTCCTTGTTTTGTGACAATTTAGGATCCATCTCCATAGAAGGCACTTCAACATTGGGATGTTTCAGTTTGTCTTGGGACAGGGTACCATTTCCTGGACAACTGCTACTTTTATTTACTTTTGACCTCCCAGTACTTTCAGTCTGACTAACCTGGCTACCTTTATTTGTATTCCAAATTTCACCAAGTTCTTCTTTATCAGATGATGAATCATCATTGTCTGTACTTCCTTCTTGCCCTGGTTCTTTAATCTGTCCATGGCCAACAGCAACTTTACCTTTGGTAGCGAGCTGCCATGCTTGATATGTATTGAATGGATCCAGTTCAGCTATCCATTTCACAGGTTTTACTGATCTGCTCTTTTCTGAAGTCACATTTGGTCTTAAGTTCAAAAATTGCAGAAATTCTTCTCTCTGAGCCAGTCCTCCTTTATTGGCTCCAACAGTGACTTGTGGGCTCTCACCATTGGATGCCGACTCTTTGGTGTGCACTTTACTGTGCTCAATTAAGTTTTCTTTATTGAGAAATAGGAAACCACAAACCATGCAGATTTTGTAAGGTGATGTTACACTTTCAGTTACATGCTCCTGTACCACCTCATTTATTGTTACTGGGCTTTCAGAACCTTGTTGAAGCTTATTTCTTGAACCAGGTTTACCAGTATGTGTTCTCATGTGATTTTTGAGGAACCAAGGCTCTTTAAATCTTCTTCCACATACATTACACCAATATGTGAAAGAGTCCTTATGCTTTTTCATGTGAGTCTCAACATCAAAAGCTTCATCAAATGTTTGCCCACAAACTTCACAGCTAAATTCTTCATTGTCCTTCTCATTGTTGTTTGGTGATGGCAAGTCTGTTCTAACTTGACATTTATCGAGAGGACTAATATACTCTGCTTCGACACGCAGAACTGCTGGTTCACAAAGCGTTGGTCTATGTTGAGTTAAGACATGCTTACCAAGTTCTTCAGGGTGTTTAAAAGTCTGATCACAAAACATGCAATCCAAAGGCATACACCCTTCTGCTTGCATCAAGAACTTTTCTTGCACGTTTTTGTAAGAAATTGTGTTGGTCCCTTTTATCAGCATTGAGGCATCATTGTTCTCCATCTGCACACCAACAGTACTGGCTATCCCATCCGGTCCATCCATATATACTAAAAGGGGTTGAGTTGGCATATTTCCGGGGTTTCGTTCCCTATCATGTATTAACGTGATGTCTCAGTTCTTCCTGGGACGTTCTCCGGTCACAGTAAGGACACTTGTAAGCTTCTCTTCACATATGCATGCAGATATGCTAGGCTAGAAGACTACTGCATGGAAGTCTTGCTACACGTCAAAGGAGATTGATTTTTATCTGTATTCATACACCATTAAAAGTATACCCATTGGTTTGGTTTCCTTGAGCTACTTTTTCAGCTGTTTAAGTTCACTTAACTTTAAAGAGAGTCTGTAGAAGTCATCAGTTGTACTTACTTCTCCCTTCGTAATATTTCAAATACTTCTATTGTGCAGGACAGAGTCAAGAGGCTCAGTAGAACAGAGAACTCTGGCACCTATAGAAACAGAACCACAACTAGCTTTTAAAATTAAAAAAATAAAAAATGAAACAAGACTTTTTAAAGAGACATTAAACATCATATCTCAAATACACAGATAAGTTTTATATTGAAGAAGTCTTTAGCACTCATTCAAAATACAAGCTATGTTTCCAATATGCCATAAAGAAGGGTTAGGGAAATACCTGATTACATCTCTTCCCTGACCTACTGGGAATAAGCAGCATAATCTTGAACACCAACTCATTTTTTTCTGCTAATTTCTATACTAATTTGTTATATAAAAAGTGTTTTACCCAGCTACATTAAAAACTCACAATGTCTCATATTTCAGATTACAAGTCTGCTGAATCCATATTTCAGTGAATATATTAATGCATTTTTAAGTGATGCAACAAGCTGAAGTAGTTACACATTAGTGCTGTGAAAACTGCCTTTGACAGAGACAGACACTTTGGATTTTATCCTTATGGCCTATGAAAAGGAAGGAGGAGAATTCTAAACTTTTCCAAACTTAAATCAGCTTGAAGTTATTTTCACATTACTGGCAGATAGTATAAATTCCTGTACTAACAATAGCCTCACTAATGCCACTATTTAAAAGTCTGTCACTCTGTTGCAAAAATCTTAAAGAATTAGATTGTACACAAAAATGAACTAGGTATTGTGTTTAAGTGCATAAACTGCAGACACTTCATTTTGAATCCCATTTTACATATCTATTTTAGATTATACACACACAATAAACCCCCAACAACTTGTAAATGTAAACGCAAATGCTTCCAATTTAGAATTGCTTAAAATAATTTGTATGTTTTTAATCTCATTTACCATTTAAATAGTATTTAAAATTTTTGATGTAACCAGTTATACTTACTCTAAGTTTGTAAACATAATTACATACCAAATTAAATCTATTCACTGCAATAAGTCACCTTCTTTGAACAGTCAAAATAAAAATGATATAGCGGAGTCCAAAGCACTCTTTTTTTTTTTAAAAAAAAGGAACTAACACACACCACCTACTTATTTTGAATGCACTGCTTTCTTCAGATGTGCGGAGTTCTGGAATTATTTTGTTTGCCTTAAACCATGAAGTTTCACAAGTTACCACTATTTATCAAGAATTTCCCACAAGAGATTCAGAAGTTACAACTTGAATTACTATGCTTCAAAGCAGACAGTTTGTGCATGGCACATTATTATGCCCCACATAATGTCAGTTCTCATAACGGTATCCTGAAAATAGTTTTTTTGAGTTTACACTTCCAGGAGTTTATCTGGATGAGGAGAAGTGGTCAAATTTAGGGTGGGCTTAACTAATGCACTACCTAAATCCAACCTAAACTTACACTGGATTTAATCATTTTTTCCCCGAATGTACTTGACGCCTTCAGTGTTCTAGCACATGCTGTTTGTAACATTCTTTACTGTGCCATCATTCATCTGAAAAACTCAAAGAACACTTTCATAAACAATGAGCCTTAACATACTCCTGTAAATTAAATATTTTATGCTTTTTATCGCTTGTGAAATTGAGGTAAGAAAGATTAAGCTATTTGCCTAAGATGGCTCCAGAGCCTCAAATAGAATTCAGAGGTCCCAATTCTCAGTCCATCACTGCCACGAGGCAACTCTTCCTGTCTAAATACAGTTTTGGAATTCTTGTAATAACTAAGCAGGTTGAACCTATGACATGGTAAACTTAAATTTTAATTCTCTTTCTTTTCTGAGAGTGAACTTCAGTCATAAAGATTTCATTTATTAATTTTGACTCTAGTTAAAAGTCAGGTCCACTAACAATAGTAACATAGGGCCGGCTTTGTTTTTAGAAAATTTTGGTGCTATGCACAAAATTTCTCCATGGAGATAAAATATTGAAATATATTACAAACAAGTGAACTCACCAGTAACTTTTTATTTCATATTTCCACTTGTTGCTTTGTTCAGTGTCTTCAGTAATTTTTTAAGCTGTATTTATATACTAGTGATGGATCCACAGCTTTGCCATTCAAGTTTATCGTTTTATGGTAAGTATGAGGAAGGGTGAGTGAATGCATATGTTGTGATGGGAGAAGTGTGGATTTGCGTGGATCTCAAATGAGTAGTGTCTGCTGCAGTGAGGGGCTGTGTGTGTTTGGGGTAACTGTGTGCATTGGTTGTGTAGATCTATGGGGGTGGCGAATAAAGGGGTATGTGCTGTTGTGAGGGGCAATTTTGTTTGCTGCTTGTGGTGTTGTGCAGGTGATTGTGTTGATCTGCATGTAGGGGATTTGCGCAGGTGGCAACTGAGTGCACGGGTGTGGCAGTTGGGCAAAGTAATTCACCATTTGTGCTGTATCCTTCATACAACCAATGGGACTGTTGCATGCAAATTAGCCGTAGAATAAAGGCCTTTGGTGGGGTTAACTGATATCACAGTGGTCTAAGACTCTTTGCATGGTACAGTTACTTGGTACAGGCCTTACACATGTGTGGCGTACAGTTGCAGTAATTCATAAAATAAAATGGTCAAGAACTTGAAAATTGGGTGGTAACAGACCATGAAATTCAGTGATGATTCAACCTGGTGATATTCTGAACACACAGAAAAAAAGCTCTCAGCTATGCTTATAGCTGCTTCCATCACTTCACACGGACTCGGACATTTTAGGCTTTGGAGTGACACACACAGCAACATCCCTGGACTGTTATTAGAAACAGGACAGGACGGTATTCTGTGGCAGAGCTCAGATGTGATCTTTGTTGTATAATGGAAGCTGCCTAAATGAAGGTATGTTATTTGTAAGACAGATGAATAGGCAGCTTGAAAATCTGAGCAGCTAGTAGCACAATATCAGCAAGCCACTTAGGTAAGAGGGCTATCATCAGGTGTGGATTTTTTATTTATTTATTTTTTAAAATATGTTTAACCCTAATTCTTTAGTGAATATTCAGACAAGGTATAGAAACTGGCCCATTTTAGAAACAGTTGCCATTCATTAATACTGTGTACATATTAAGTTCCTCTGAAGTGTATGAGAGAATCATTCTAAACAGCAACTGCCACATATTGACATATGTTCTAGGTCAAGCTGTCAGTGCCAGAGACGGGTTAAGAACCTACTTCATTTAGACAGTCTCAATTTGTTGTGTAGCAATGAAATTCTAGAAGCACTCAGTTACAGGGAAGGCATCTTTTCCATGTAGTTTCATCTACATGTCATTTTAGCAAATATTCAGAAGACAAGGATGTTCCTTCCATCTTTCCTTTGATCCTTCTTGCAGTGTACTACATAACTGAGAAATACCAACATGAAACTAGTAGCAGACCAAAACCTGCTTTCACCAACTGCGAAAAATACTTTCTTGTAGAAAGTGAAGGCCTCCATACCAAATTCCAGGGCCAAGTTTAGTCCCAACTTCCATCCAACAAGATAACCAAAAACTCCTTGCAGATTGGAACCATTTAGAGACAATGAATTCTCTGGATGTGTTGGGAAATAGTGGACTGAATTTTTGAAGTTTCACAAACACAAGTTTAATAATTCACTCTTCAGAATCCAAGCTCCAAGCAAAAGCTGGAATATCTATACCACTTTAAGCGCTGTAGCACAAGCCCAAGTCTATAGGCTCAGACTCACTGCCATGGCACCTGGCTCCTTTGAAGATTTAAGATGTGATTTTCAAAGTACTTTACACATTTAGGCCAGATTTTTAGAAGTTCTTAGCACCTAGTCGCTTCCATTTTTCTTAATGGGCGCTTCCATGTGAGCACTTCTGAAAATCTGGCCATTACTAACCCTCAACACATCATTCTGAGGAAATATAGCATGCCTTACTATTTCAGTGTCTGAAATATTTCTCTACCACCAGGGCAATTATTGCTGTCAAAAGAGATGTGGTTCAATATGACAAGAGCTACTTTTAGAAAAGAGCCTCTCACCTGTAATTTTTAGATCATGAAATCTAGTCACAGATAACATTTTTGGTAAAAAAACAAGATGTGGACTCTGGTAGTTTGAATCTAATTCAATCTACCTGGAAAAGATAAGTGAACCGTAAATGTTAAAAAAATAAATAAATAGAGTAAAAAGTTGAAAGGTGAGCTTTAAAACAAGACTGAGTTTTCCGGCTGATACATTTCAGACTTCCTTCATCAGTCAGAAAGATCTTAAAAGTAGGGCATGCCTTTTATGTTTGGAAACCAAGTATTAATAAATCAATACTAGACAAGGGTTTAATTCAGATAAATAGCAGCACCAATTTCCTACTGCAATGAAGGAAATCCTTTCCCAAAGGAATCAAAATATTAAAAATTATTCAATTATTAAATAAAAATGTACTTTTAAAATCAGAATTAAAGCATTGTTTTACTCTATCTAGAACTGACACACAACTCATGGTCCATGGACACATTCAGAATACTGTCCATCTAATTTAGTTATACAATTACTACTTTTTACTCTTGTGAGCACTGCAGAGACAGACTAAATTGGGATCCATTTTGGTTCAATCAACAAAATTATATGAACTCCAAATGCAAGGCCAATCCTGCAGCTACAACTGGGCAATTCCACTGGAAACAACATTAACCCAAGGTAGAATCTGGTTGGCAATAGTATTAATACTTGTGATGATAGATCAGACAGAAAACAAAGAATACAGTTTGACTTTCAGATCGTAGATTGAGTTTAATAGAACTGGCAGTTATGAAAACACTTTTACTTCTAAACTGAACTAAGTAAATTAGGAAGTCAGTGAGGGACAAACATGGAATCTGTTTACAAGTACTTACTTTCAGAATAAGACTACATTGATACAACAGAACATTGATCACAAAAGGGCCAATAGCACAACCTGCCATTCCTCAGGAGGAAACCCCAAATGGCTGACTCCACCAGCAGAAGCACCAAGGAAGAGTTGACTACAAGTTAGCTCACAAGTGGTTAAAATCCTACCCTGGCCGAGGCAGTTTGTAGTTTTCACCTGTGTCCGCTGGGCATGGTAAACGGTTG